GTGCTAAAGAGCTTTATATAAGCTCTGTAAGTATTCTATTTGAACAAACGATGACTATAGAATAGAAAGTCTCATGGCATACTAAAGAGCTTTGTTAACGCTTTGGAAGCTCGATATTCTATTTTAACAAAGGATGACTATAAAATAGCTTATAAACATCAATTGTGCAATATTAAAAAGGATCTCTGAGCCAGTCTCGAATATAAACTCCAAACTTTTTCGAAGCTTTCTGTTAAACAACTTTTCAAAAGTTCGTATTCAACCTATGGCAAACATTTTTTGCCCTTTTTTTTGAACTAGACTCAATCAGTTCTTAATTGTATTTCCATTATTTACTTACAGTTGTGAACGAGAAGTCATGCTGTCAATTAAATGTGCCAACTAACAGCTTGCCAAAGGCAAGAACTGCAATTTTTCAGTTTGCTACTTTCCCTAGTCCCGCTCTCCCGTCTAACAAGGCAACATGTTCGTGCTACGCTGTTGTGAAAATGTAGAATTCTTCGTTGTTGTTGTTACTGCCATCGATGGCAGCGAAAGCTGAACGATTTGAAAACTGAGTAGAAAAAGCACTCGGAGAAAAGTAGTGGGGAAAAGAGATTTACAGAAAATATTTTGACGTACTTAGTATAGCAAGCATTCGAATGTTATTGTTATCGCTGGCGTGCAGTTTCTGACAGCGGAAAATTGCATGTTGCAGTTGCCAAAATGGCGAAAACTTTGCGTGATTTATTTTTCGGTTTGTGTTTGTGTATTTTGCGGAGTTTGGCAGTAGATTTAGCTTTGATTTACAGTTAGTATCAAAACATTTCATTCCTTTCGATCACCTTTAAGTAATATGAAATTTCGAAAACTTTGGCTTGATACAAGTGGACTTTTTGCGGCAATGAAAACTGCTGGGTGACCTTGCTGGGAATTCTAACGGAATCGTTACCGTTAGCAAAGGGAACTAAAGTTGGCAATGTTCAAATGCCGTAAGTAACTTGAGGTTATCAAGAGCAAGAGAGAGTCCTGATCAAAAGCTCCTACCATCAGCCCATCACCCAGAATACTAGTCGGATCTGCTTCCTGTACAATATTTGTTGCCAAACCTTATATGCCTGTTCTAGTAACTGTTGTTCTTCTTTTTATTGTTTTGTTCGCATTTTTGTTTGTTTGATTTCGCAATTATTGAACTCCACTGCTGTTGTTCCCTGGTTTTTTGAGACTTCATCATTATCGTGGGTACTTCTACACATATTTCCATTAGTCTAGCTGTACAACCATCTAATTTGCTAATTTTTCTGAGATTGGATATACAGTAGACGCCCACAAATTAGAACTCTCACGAATTAGAACATCCAGAAATTTGAACCAGAGTTTTTAATGCATTGGACGCTCTAAGATCAGAACTTGAAGTTCTGAGCGTTTTTTTTTTATATTTTTTTTGAACTTTTAACTCACGGGAATTCCCATTCTTGGTGATAAATGTTGATAAAATAGAATGGAGAATCCCCAAGTTATATATTTAATGCCTTTTTAGTTTTTGTTTTGCCATACTTTTGGTGTTTTATCATTCATATGTGAAATTTGATACGCGTGGACATATTTTGCTAAACTCTACCGAAAACTAAAAATAACTTACTAAAAATGTCAAATAAACGTAACAAAACACTTCAGCTTGGGAAACCAAAGTAAAGATATTGGAAAAGCTGACCAAGGAGTTCAAAGGAATCGTCATGCGCTAGATTTTAATGTAAGCAAATCTGCCATCAGCTACATCAAGTCAAATAGATCATCTATACTAAATGCTGTTTCCTACACTTATCAGGAAGCATCAAACAAAACTATACATAGTGCCGAATATCCGAAAATGGAAAGTCGTCTTTGTGAGTGGTTTTTAAAACAACGCGTTTGACAGGAACAATATTAAAGGAAAATGCTAAAGAAATGTTTGGTGAAGAATACCCAGATGAAAATGAAAATGCATTCTCAACAAGCGATGGATGGTTTACTAAATTTAAAAACCGAGACGGCATTCGTTTTTTAAAAATTGGTGGCGAGATTCTTTCTAGTGATATTGCCTCGATCACTCCATTTATTGACAGATTCTATGCAAAAGTCACTGAGATGGGGTTAATGGAGTCGCAATTATGTAATGTGGACGAAGCCGAATTATTTTATCGTTGCCTACCAGATAAAACATATGTCTCTGCTTGTGAAAAAATTGCTTTCTGGATACAAAATTCAAAAAGAACGAATTTCAATTTTACTTGGTTTAAAGGCTGATGGCTCTCACAAATTAGTGCCCTTAGTTATTTTAAAAGCCAAAAATCCCAGGAGCTTCAAAGGTTTTAATAATCCACTTCGTTACAACTTTTCCAAAAATGCTTGAATGACACCTCGGATCCTTCATGATTGGTTTCACAAGATATTTATTAATGAAGTAAGAGGAAACCATTTTGCTTTTAATTTCTTTAATTTTTAAATATTTTTTGGTTTACAGGTCATCCAGTTTTCTCAAAAAAATAACTTGTCTCCGAAGGCTGTTTTGCTTATTGATAACTGCTCCGCGCAAGCACCAATTGAGCATCTTCAAAGCAAAGATGGCAACATATATGGTTGCATATTTCTTGCCGCCAAATGTGACAGCAGCTGTGCAACCAATTGATCAAAATCCCATAAAGTTAACAAAACTTGTTTAGAGAAGTAAGTTACTTGCTGTAATAATAGTCTGTTGAAATCCGATTCCATCTGAAAGGCAATAATATTTCTGAAACAAGCTTGGGATGAGATAACGCAAACAGTGATGAGGAATTCTTGGTCAAAGTTGTTAAATTAGGACTCTGACCAATACGATGATGATGTTCCGCTAGCACAGTTGCTTAACAAAAATGCTGACTGCAATGAGCTCTCCAAATCAAACTCTTTAAGCAGAAATTGATCCAAGCAGTTTCGTGTTTATTGATGACATCGAGAAATGGAATGAAGATGAGTTTGAAGACGGAACTGGTTATGACCTAACTAGCGGTGATGAGTTTTCTGATAGCAGTGAAGACGATGTTGCTGATGACACACCAGTTAACAATTTAATAAATTGGTGCAACAAGAGTGAATTGTCTTCCAGTAAGCACATGGCCAATCTTTTGGCTCTCCGTAACGATATTGTTATATCGGATTTAAAGAAACCAAAAAACAAGCAAATATTACTGATTAACTTATGACAAACAAAAATTAATTTTGAACTGAGCCCTTATCCTGAATTTTTAATTAATTTCTGAATTGTTATGTTTTTAAATAAAATAAGAAAAGAAATTTTAAAAAATGTTTTTATATATTTTTTAGAAGTGGCTTAACTGTTAGTTTTGTTATTTGCGTTAAAAAAAAATCGGCCAGAAATTAGAAAATTCGGAAATTAGAAGTACCACAAAAACAAAGTGGTTCTAATTTCCGAGCGTCTAGTGTATAGCAAACTTATTTTTCAAGCCAGAATTTCTCGCTAAAAAAAGGTGATCCATTTTGAGGTTCCCTACTTTTTTAAAGAAAAATCACACAAACTTCAAGTTTAACGACGGATGTCGTTGATGTATTGAATATTAACTCTCTCAAATGTTGGCTGCGGCCAACTTGGATTGCCAATCCCTTGAGTGGCACAGTCTTGTTGAAACAAACTGTCATCGAGGTCACGAGCTTCAATATCAGGCATCAAATGTCGGTTATCATGGCGCGATAACGGTCACCAATGGATTCATCTTTGAATAGATATGAACCCATGCCACAAAATTTTTTTTTTTTTTTTTTTTTTTTTTTGTTTTGTATTTTTTACCCTAGTAAGGTCAAAGGGCTTCAATTCTTGCACAAGCTGTATTTTGTACACATTCAATTTAAGACCTCGACGCAAAGTCATTTCATACGTCAGACCGAGTTGCTGCGAATGACACTGAAACGAATCGCTGCAGTCTTCGTGTACACCTTGAGCTTCGTCAAAATCGTTGTTATAATGTTTGCAATGTTTCAGATAGTTTTTAACACAGCCATCATAGTTCTTTCACCAGGCGAAAACATTGAGATGCCCTACCCAAGGCTCTAAGTATCGAATGGAGTCACAGTTTGCAATTATTGTTTATCTGATAGTTTAGATTAATTGTTACCGATTGTGGTCTCGTGCGAACAAACATAATATTGATATCTTCCGTACGTCGACTGCGTCTTCGGTGCTTATGTATATGGCGTGTATGGAGCTTAGCAAACCACTTAACTTAAAATTCTATATCTCTATACATTGTGAAGGTTATGTTTAACTACAAGATCTATAGATTAAATAATAGTGGCTTTCTGTCGGAAAAGTGCAGTCTGATACTATGCAACAAATATACGTTTGGTCGCTGAGAAGTGGTCGGCTTTGTGTGAGGCTATTCTATATTTCAAAAATCTTTCTGTGGCAAATTTTAATTGAATGGTGAAGTAAGTTTCATCATGAACTAAACTCTCAAATTCAACTCAACTCACTCTAAATCTTAAAAAAATTTTAGCATTCATAGTTTTCGTTCAAAAGAAAGACGGTAAAAAATCCCTTCTTGACTCTCATCACTTTAAGATAGTAACGTTTCCGAAAAGAAGAGCCGATATACATATTGCTTTATTCGGAAAATACCATTCCTTTAAGTTCGTCACGTGTTTGTTTTTACTACGCACATTATAAATTGAAGAGCAACAGCAATTTTCCACAAAATTGCTGCAATTTAAGGGGACGTGCGACTCTGCAACTCAATACATCTATTTTTTCATTATTTTATAATTGGACTAATAAGTCCGCAATTGCGCTTCGAAATACGAATAAAGATATTAACTACCCCACTTTATAGCAAAAACTCTCCTCCATGAGGATGAGTAAACGGACAGTGCTATAAAAGATATCGAACGCTCAGCTTGGCGGCAATTTACGGCACAACCGTAGCATGCAGCAGAACACGGTTTTGAGAAAGGAGGAAAAATAAAAGGCTTAAGCAAAAAAATTACAAGCTATGACTCTACACTTCATTCTACTAATTTGCCACATATTTCTGGTGGCCAATTCAAGCGGCGCTGGGCCAAGCGGCTTCGCAGGTGCCGAACAACTAGGCAACTCAACACCGAAAGAGCCAACTAGGGGAGGTTACGATGCGCAAATTTTCATGGAATATTTTCGTTGGCATGGTGTCCACAACATAATGTTGATTGTCTGTCCGCAGGATGTAGGTAAGGAAGTAATATGATGCAATAATGGAGCGGAAGGTAAAATGGAGGGGTGCGGTAATCCTCCCATAAACCAATAGTAGAAGCTATAAATTCGGCAGCAAAAAATATAAAATTAAATGACCAATATTTTCAACAACATAAACCAACTGCGCCTTTTAATTCTCCTCTCATCGCAGGCACCAGCGAAAAGCATCATAAATTGAAATCGCTACTGCGCCAATTTATCGCCCATGGCTTTTCCACACGCGTATTCAATGGCCAAGACTACGATAATGACAACGAAAGCCATCGCAGTGCGGTGCAAGCGCAAGCCGAAGCCGAGCCATTCAACACGACACACACCTCAACGGCTGATTCAACAAGCGCCGCACCTGCATTGAGCCGTGCCACGTTCGGTCCACCGCGCACATTCCGTAGCGATAACAACACGCGTCGCCCATTGCGTCTGCAGCTGCCAGCACTCACCTATAAATCAGGTATACTGCTGTTGGAATTCGCCAGCGCCTGTTCACTGAATGCGCTACGCTGGGCCGCTGCAGCCGAACACAACTATTTCACCACAAATCGCTTTTGGTTGCTTTTCACCGATGAGCCGACGCATATTTCACTGCTCGACGATGAGGACATATTTCTGCCGCCGGATGGCGAGGTGCGTGTCATGTTGTGGCAGCCGGGCGTGCAATTTTTCACATTGGTGGATGTGTATAAGGTAGCCGCAGACAAGCCTTTACGACGCACCTTGGTGGGTGGTCGGGAATTGCGGGACGCAGAGGATATGTTGCAAGCGCTAGGTAAATTCGGTTCGGCTATTTCTTATCGTCAAAATTTGGAAGGTATCACTTTCAAGACGGGACTTGTGATCGCCTTTCCTGATTTGTTTACGAATATCGAGGATTTGTCGCTACGGCATATCGACACTATTTCAAAAGTAAATAATAGGCTGACCCTTGAGTTGGCGAACAAATTAAATTTACGGTAAGTTCTTACAATTCTTCCAATCAATAGTTGAGGTATAAGTTATACTGGAGACGATTGAGTTTTTCACAACAAATTTTCACTCAAAATTGTTACAAAAATCGAATCCATTCCGTGGTAAACTGGGAGGTTAGGTTGAATTAGTGCTGCGGAAACCCCACCGGGGGCCCACATGCAGACTCTTAAATTATATCATTTGTTGCTGGTTAGTTGGCTGGTTGAGGAAGGGAGGCGAGCGAGCTTGTAGGCCGTAGGCAGCGGTTACCAAGTACAATTTATCCAGGAACACAATGGATGTAGTAAATACATTTCTTCCTCCCAGTTGCCCATTATTTTTTAAGTTTGAACTTTGAAAACCGTGCAAATATGCCGTCTCAACCAGCTTAAGGCTGATCATTCAGAAAGATACTGTTCTGACATCTCATCTTCCTACACGCAAGTTCTAAATTCCATCGAATCCACTTTACCACTCAACATTTCTAATACCTTTTCTTGAATTCTTATCCCTTATAGTCTACCATAGTTCCACTTCAACCCGCTATTCATATGAAATGTGCCTATTTAAAAAATAGTTACTTCGTAGCAGTGGATTTATGACAATTCTTCTTCCCTTCACTTACTATAAATAGCTATGTACGTAGCGTAAAGACTGTGTACACTCTTTAAGGCCTGCCGCCGTGTATTGAAAATACTTTGCAAGATGTCCTACTATTTGAAAAAAACAAAATGTATGTTTCTATTATTTTATTTTCTGAAAGCTTCAACACGCATCAAGTGGACAACTATGGCTGGCATAAACCAAATGGCTCGTTCGATGGACTAATGGGACGCTTTCAACGTTACGAACTGGACTTCGCACAAATGGCCATTTTCATGCGCCTCGATCGCATCGCCATAGTGGATTTTGTTGCTGAAACATATCGGATACGCGCTGGCATAATGTTTCGCCAACCACCACTGTCGGCCGTGGCCAACATCTTTGCCATGCCCTTTGCCAGTGATGTCTGGATTGCCATACTACTGCTTATGATCTTCACTATATGTATATTCATAGTGGAGTTAGTATATTCGCCACATTTGCACGAGATGGATATATTGGATTGTGTGGTCTTCGTTTGGGGTGCGATGTGTCAGCAGGGTTTCTACGCTAACCTACTCAATCGCTCCGCTCGCGTCATCATTTTCACGACATTTGTATCGACACTTTTCTTGTATACGTCATTTTCGGCGAATATAGTGGCGTTGCTGCAGAGTCCTTCGGAGGCCATACAAACTTTGAGTGATTTAACGCAGTCCCCATTAGAGGTTGGTGTACAAGATACACAATACAATAAAATATACTTCAATGTAAGTGAAAGCGATTTAGGTGTTAAAATGTTTTTTTAACTAATGGTTATGCGGTTTTAGGAGTCCACCGATCCCGTTACCAATCATTTATATCATAAGAAGATTGCACCGAAAGGTGAAAATATTTTCATGCGCCCCGCAATAGGCATGAAGAAGATGCGGACGGGCCTCTTCGCTTACCAAGTGGAATTGCAAGCCGGATATCAGATCATAAGCAACACCTTTAGTGAGCCAGAAAAATGTGGACTCAAAGAGCTGGAGCCATTTCAGCTGCCGATGATTGCAGTTCCAACTCGAAAGAATTTCCCATACAAGGAACTCTTTCGTAGGCAGTGAGTGCATCACTTTTAGTTCACATATCATATATGTCTTCTTCTTCTTAAATTGCATGTAGGTTGCGTTGGCAACGTGAAGTGGGCTTGATGAACCGTGAAGAGCTGAAATGGTTTCCGCAGAAACCGAAATGTGAGGGTGGCATGGGTGGTTTTGTTTCGATCGGCATCACTGAATGTCGCTACGCTTTGGGCATTTTCGGTTTCGGATTACTACTGAGTGCTTTTAGCTTCATTCTAGAATTGATCGTTAATTATGTGTGGAATTTAGCGAAGAAAATACATCGAAATAGGAAACAACGGAAGGAAAGCAACACTGCTGATGAGTACCGTGGTAATTTTGTGCATTAGGTCAGTCGTAATTTATTATACTATTGCACAAGTTTTGGCACATGCGAAGAAGATTAAGTGTATTTATTGGAAAAGTACAAATCTTACGATGTTAAATAAATTCGTTTTCCCTGTTTTAATTAGTAGGGGTATTCTATACTTACACATCTATTTTTTATATCTGAAGAAATAAGATATAATTCATACTCCTATAATTTTTATACTCTGGCAAAATAAATGATATCCCGACTCTAGCTGAATTCCGAGTGACTGTCTGTCTGTCCGTCCGTCCGTGGAAACTGACACACGAGTTCCTTGGCAACAAAGAGACGACTTGTTCGTAAATGAACTCAGTGGTCTCACTGTCATGCCCACAGATGGCCATTAAACGAAAAGTTATAAAGTGTCATAACTAAGCTCTAAGTTAATGATTAAATACCCCTACTGAAATTGTAAATATCACCATTCTCCATATAACCGTCTGTTAAAAATAAGTCGATATGTCAATAAATAAAGGGTGATCCACTTTATCCGGCCCACTAACCACACAAAATCGTTTTTTCGGAATAAAATAGCTGTTCTTGAATCCCCTCAGGTTGCTCTTCGTCCCAAATGCGGCAATTTTGCATGTTTACATACCTATTGAGCCAGAAATTGGCATCATCGCTGAGCAAAATTTGGCTCGAAAGCATTTGATCTCCTCGGAACTTTTCAAGAGCCCATAAGCGAAGCGATGTCGCTGGGGAAGGTCGACAGTTCTTCCACAAGCTGTGTTTTCACGCGTTCAATTTTAGATCTCGACGTAAAATGCGCCAAGTCTGAGTTTTTGCGAACATGGCCGAATCGATTCTTCACTGCATACTGGATGTGGTCTATTCGGTCGAATATTATCCAATAATGAGAGTGAGAAGCACGCGAAACTCATTATTTACAGAAACTGAATTTTCGTAAAATGGTTGTGCAGGCCTAAGTCTTTCCACGATAAAATGCCAAACAATGCTGAACAAAAGTAACATAACAGCTTGCCATGCAGAGATAGTAAATTTAACATCTGAGATAGTACAAGAGGACTTTATATACAGTAGCAGAGGTCAAACTAAGAAACCTTTAAATATTTAGGTGAAAGCCCATAACTAATGACCTATTTGATCAATATCGACCGAATATGGTAGAAATATATACATATATAGTTGTAAAATATATATAATATGAGCGAAATCGGATTTTTTTTTTTTTCAATTTTCAATTTTTTCGGACAATTTTAAATTCGATCTGAGTGCGCTTAAATTATCTCAATGGAAATAAGTAATTCCAAATTATTTCTGCGCCAGCTTTGTGGTATTTTAATTAAATTAAACCCATACCATTTAAGGATGGTTTTAGCGTAATTTCATTGAAGCCATAAAAAATACAGTGATAAAACTTAGTTGGTACATGACTTTCAATATAAGTTAATAAGATACCAATTTGATTGCTATCTATTCACGATTTAGTCAAACAATGAAGTTGAACCCTTTTGCTACATTTTTTACTATTACCAACACCTTAAGGCATTTGGCCGGCTTTGATCGCCTCAAGTTGCAAGGGTATGAAATGTTTGGTTGCACCTGAACATAACCCTTCCTTTATTATTATAAACTGAAATTGCGGGGTTTTGCCCGGGAAAAAATAGGATTGATTTTCTTACGCCGCGACTGTACTTCGGAGCGTGCGCGCACCGACTGGATTCGGTAGAGGGCCAAGCTAACGAAAATGATATGATATGATCAACCAGGCTTAACCAACGCTGCAACGACGCATAAGTACTATTACTTTCCGGACAAACTCTGTGAGTAGTAACGACATAAATACTCGTATGTAGATTATTCTTTGTTTATATTTAGAACTTGACTCTTAAATTACCGTAATATCAAAGCGTCACTAAGCGCCTAAAAAAGTATAACATCCTCAAATCGAAGTACCCATATGACAGATTCACTTCATCAAGAGAATTGACAACACCACTTTCGTACTTGGTGCAAAAAATATCTATTGTGATCTATGGCTTCAGTATCCGACAACCCAATTATTTATAATGGGCCACGCTCATAATTTATATACATACATATTTTGATTGTTGCAAATTTCCGGGGAAACCCTTTTGGAGTCAATTGAAGACATTAAACGTGAATAACTACGCGAATGGGGGCAAGGGAAATTACTTTGAGATAAAATTACTATCTTTTTCTCACAGTAGTATCCTGTTCAGGATATAAATATATATATGTGCGTATATAAATATTATTTATATATATTAGGGTACATTTGATGGCAAAAAAAATTGTGACCGTGGGATTCCACACAATTTGTCAATCCTTAAAAAAAAACAAAAAGGCTTCTGTCAAATCCCCGAAATAAACGTTAACTAAATACGATGGCAGTGCTTCGAAACGTGTCTATAGCATCGTGAGAGATAATTTACGCGTATAGCTCTGAAAGTAAACAGCAGTCGATTGTATGTTTTAAGATGAGCCGAAGCACAGAACAACGCAGAACAGTATTCTGAGTGCTAAGCATCCATCAGGGTCTAGTAGTACTTTTGAGTCAAGACTTTTTTCATGTTAAAATTAATTAAAGATTTAAAATAAACGAAAGCAAATCTTACAAAATTATTGATAGTTTCATATACTGTGGATACAAATATATATCAATCTAATATCTAGGGCAACAAACGCAATGTAGACCAGTGCTATTCCCCTTACCTCTTAATGTTTTAGAAGCCATTTTATGAAGATCTCAGTAATTTACTTTCAAGTTGCGCAGGTGGATTCAATCAGAACAATAATACTTAGGCTGTTCACGATAAGGTGGTTGTCGGGTTATGTGGTTATGTGATTAAGTAAACAACAACAAAATGCGGTATGACAAAATAACCAACTTTGACCAACCCAGACCCTTGTTTACAGATTATGTGGTTGTTTGTTTATTTCCAGTGTTAGAAAGTCGTTGGAGTTTTACTAAATGGCAGCACAAAAAATAAATAAAACTAGGCGAATGGCATTTCCATTTATATTTTCTAATTGGAAATTCTGCTATTAACAGCTGTTTTTTGTTTACAATTGCATTGTGACACTGTTCAGGGCGCAAGATGTCTGCAAATTTTATACAAAGAATCTTTTAAACTCTTAAAATTCGGATTATTTAATAAGCACATACCTTCAATAAAGTCCATTTCCTGAATAGCAGAACTTATTTTAATTTCAATTATGTTGCTTTTTAAACTTTGTTTAGGCATTTCATTGAACTTAAAATGTAAACAATGAACAGCTGTTTGTGTAAAAATAAGCATATAACCATACAATATGGGATGTTCACGGATCATAGAGGTTACTTTTAATCTAATAACCACATAACCCGATAACCACCTTACCGTGAACAGCCTAACTAGTTTTGCTGGCATTAACCGTTAGTTAGATGCTGTTTCTTGCTAATTTTGGGTTGCTAAAAGCGAAAATGATAGTAAAAATTTTTTTATCTCATACGACTTTTTGTGTTGTAGCCATTTACTTAAATGACAACTCAAATACCCAACAGATCTCTTAGCAAATTTGACGCAACTTTTCCTTCAGATTTTTTAGTTTATCAGCCTATTTTACAAAAATTGTTTCATAATTTTGTTGAACTTTTCCATCTTTCCTTATCTTTCTGTAATTGCCGTATCAAATATTCCACCCTTCTTTTTTTCAAATCTTTCATATTAAGTTCTACAAATTTCACAAATTTTTTTATTATTCCTGAGTTTCACTGAGTTCATTCTGAGAAAATAATTTTGATGTAGGCACTTCACCCTCTTATTCACATTCATTGGTAGACTTTACTGATGTCTGGGTATTTGGCGACATTATTGTATCTGAGTAGTACCTGGATAGTAACTTTCAACTGAAACTGAGATTTTTATAGAGTAAAGCAGCACATTTCGTGGACTGTAATTTCAAAAACATATCTCCAGATTTGATTTTTAGATTCGAAATTTTTCGCATATTTTCGTTGCGGAGTTTGAGTGGATCAAAAGATGTTTATATGCTCGAAAAGAGTGCGCGGAATCCTAGTCATGACTGGGAAAATAAATTTTATTGCTAACAAGCCGTTTAATGATAAAAGAAAATATGTGTATTAATCATAAAAATAAGAGCAAATTCAAGACTTTCATGAAGCAATTTGGAAACTGAGGACTTGAAAATATAAAATTTTTTCAGCATATCAAGGGCAACAAATTGTATTTCTTGTGATTTATAGAGCTGTATAATCGAAAGTACAAATATGTTAGCAAATTCTCAACGCGTTGAACCGGTCGCTTACGACAGCTGCTAGCTACCATCTCTCGAATATTCCAGAGCCCCAAGAACCCTTTGATGATTATCGAATATTTTGAAAATTGTGTTTTCTATGAATATTTTTAAAACATTGTGCTTTAAGAAAATACAAAAAAGAAATATTCTTAAAAGTTCTGGCTACCCAAACCCCCCAAGTGACTTTTACTTGATTGATGCATCAACATATTTTTTTTACTTATGGCATGTACTATATCAATATTGTATTTAACCATTGTTAACCGATTTGCGATAGGCCTATAAAACTGTAGTCTATAGAAATCCTTCTCAAACCAATTATCTCTATCGTATTTATTTTCTCAATTCAAACCAATAAATATTTTCAAAAAGATTTTCAAAATATTTTCCAAAAATTTAAGTTTTCATGTTTTTTATATCATTCGATTTTTTACTTTAAAATTTTTATTAATTCGGTCGATTAATATTTCGTTGTTGTCTTATTTCATTTATAAAATTAATCAAGAAAAATTATTGCAAAAAGATTGTGGTCCAACCATATTGGCCGGGCTGGTAGTGGCATTTCACTCCGGTACGCTATCCCACTACTGCCTACCACGGGAACTCTTGGCTGCTGGTTTTCACCCCTGGCCCGGTTCATCCCTCCTTAGCCAACCTGAATRCCAAGGACTCCTCCATGGCACCCATATTGAT